GGATGAGAGCGGGAAAGAGCGACTCACTTCTTGGGTGATCTGGCGCTGGGGCTGGCTGGGAGGGGGTGAGTGGGGGAGGGAGGAGGGGGAGGGGGGACGTACTTGTAGTATCTGCGGCAGTTGCAGGGGCTTGCAGGGGAGCCACAGGATTGAGGATGAGCGGCGCTAATATGGCAGGTTGGGGAGCGGCAGTCGATGTAGCGATCGCCTTGGAAGGTCAAGTGACCGCATGTGGAGAACTTGTGGAAACGGAGGAGACGGTGACACATCTAAGGGACGGGTCTATTTCAGTGAATGAAGAGGAGGAACAAAAAAGGCTCGTACTGTCGTCGGCGGAGGTAGGAGCAAGACGTAGATCACGAATACGAATCAGAGTTTTTGAGTTCAGATGGATGCTGGCACCGAATTCGTGAGATGGACCGGCGGGAGCGAGGATGCTTTGCCAGAAGGAGTTGGCGTGCGTGCAAGTTCGCTGGGACGAATGCCTCTGCCAGCCCCAGTCCTCGTCCATGCCCGCTTTTAAGGCCAAACACCATCTCAACGCTAATACAAAATTACGGTTCAGCTCCGCCAAGTCCCGTGGCAAGCAATTTTACACCATTCATGGAGATTGGCCTTTCGAGAGCGAACCACCCGTGAGCGCGGCACAGATCTCTCCTGACCCCCCACATGCACCTCCACCCAGAACACCAATGTTCCCATGTGCACACGTAAACATCATACAAAAAGGCACCATCTTCTCGTCTTCCCTGCCCTCACCCACTGGCATTGACCACCACCGCCCATCTCATGCCCTCCCTCGTTACCACCCTGTCTTTTCCTCCTGCGTCTTATCGCGACATCTGTCACCTCACTCGCACTCGTCGCTTGCATGCTTATGTTTACGTCCTCATACGCACGTTCAGCCTTCGAGAAACGAGCCTATGACTTGTCCTCACTGATCAGCTCTTCCTCAACTCGGTCCCTGCACCTGCTGCTCGCTTGGAGCCTACGGCCCGGCATCAGAACCACCTCCACTTGCAGGCGACTCTTGCCTCCAGCCATCGATCATAACCCGCTGCTGCTCCTCGCGCCTGGCAAAATCCACGCTTCTCTTCGCCCGAGGAGCTGCTTTTCAGATGAGTCTCGTTATTAACATCATCCTTACCAAAATATCCTTTTATCATTCCCCCTTATAGTCACCTGTTTGTCCATTCTTGCAAATGTGTTTTCTATTATATAAGATCTTCTTTGATGTTCTTTCTCGATGAGGCTCAGCACACTGGGCGCAACCTTCCAATGTCCCTACTCGCGATGATTGACCGGCCCCAATTCAAACCTCCTATTACTGTAAGCGACTTCACCGTCCAACGGGCTTGCCTTTTACTGTGGCTCTGCAGTCCTCCTTTTCCACTTATGCGGCAAAAATCCCGTAGTTGAGTATCCTGACATCATCTACGATATTGCAACCGGCTCTTTCCCTTCTGCTACTTTTGCTCGTGCTTCATCTTTGTCATGGTAGTTCGTTGTAACCCACCAGAGTGCTTTGCGTCCTCTTTGTCATGTTCCTCATCTCACCATCCCCGAAAGATACAGATCAACAGCAACAAAGTACGTGAAAATCGGTCATTCTGTCGCTATCATATATCGGTTTCACATCGCCATGTCAATCGATAAAGACAAGGCCCGGACGCTGTCATTACAACCGTCAGCTCAACGACACCACGTTGTGACGCCACGGCTTCGTCCTTGCTGCGCGATTCCGATATTCTTAACTTTATAACAACAGTGACGATGACACGATTGTCTAGATTCGATGTCGCACAAATGATTCCGTCATGTGTCCCTACAGTTGAACCCGATCACATAAACATGCTGCCCATTAGGACATGTTATTCTACCCCTGTCCTTACGCCTTGCTATGTCTAACACTCCTGAGAAGCCGGTCCTAGAATGGTACGCTTTCTTGCACGGTCTTTGTGTTCTCCCGACAACAAGGCATCGCGGATTGCGAATTGTTCCTGGTTCTCATTCAATTCGGTAACTTGGAACAACCTGGAGAAGCTCTGAGAAGCTCCTTGTATAAGCGGGGGTAAGTCGGTGAATACCTACCTGCGCACGGTCTTTATTATCGCAAGCGTCGGCATGCCGTACCACATTTACAGATTGGAGTATAAAAAACCGACGCCTTACGGGTGTACGTACGTCACGGTGACGGTTCAGATGGGCGAGTGGTAATATGACTTTATCTGCTCATTCGAATATGCGTATCGAACGTATTCTATTGATGCTTATCTTTTCGCAATTTATTTTGCAAGGGCGACACCGCATGGAACCCCCCTCCCATATCATAAATTATATCCATCGCTCATCCTCGTCCCGGGATGGTCATGTCGGTCGCGGCAAATGAGCTATGCGCTGTTATGCCAAAACTCGAATGGGTTCTTCCGCCAAATTCATGTTTAATGACCAAGTTTGAAAGGAGAAAAATAAAATCGATAACAGATCAGTTCACAGCAGATGCGGCAGCCGGATGTCGACAGAAAGCACCCGTTGCGTATCATTTGCTATAGTCATTGGCTCCTCGTCAAAGGCGGCCCATCTACATCGTGGACTGAACCGGGCGTCTCTTGTTACGCGTATGATGACAATCACGATTGTATTGGACCAAGTGTCTATGAATATTCGCAATGGTCAACCTGTTAGTCGTATTAGCAGTGAAGAAAGCCTGTCAAGAGGGAACGTCAACACAGTCAATTGCTTTGGAAAAGGCCTAATCTGAGCGCGACGGGGACGGCAACTGAGACGATCACCGTGCTGTCAGCTCTAACTATAAGAAGAATTTGTATATTTCGTAGAGGGAAACAGCTAGAAACGGGTAGAACACTCCCTCAAATCAAGCGCGCAGACTTTTATAAACCCAACGGTTCGGGAATACCTGAAGTAGTAAGATGAGTCTGATGCATTTATAATTTCCTGATAAAAGAATAAAACGATTTAAAAAAAACCACTCATAGCCGCCGCAACTTTGTCCTACGGTGTAAGAGTTGTAGCGCACGCAATGCCCGAATTCGGGGATCATTGATATACGAAATACCAGTATATTTTGGCTGGGCGTAGAGGGCAGAATACATCATGCTCCAAAGAGGTGCCGTCCCGTGCACGGTCATTATCATCGCACTTCTACAATAGATACGTTGTAAACGACTAACCCATACATGGCAGGGCCATTATACCCAAATCGACGATTATTTCGGAACGACGGAAAGAATCTGCCAAAGGAAAAAAAGAAAAAGAGTACCATAAGGAGAACAATGTCAGACGGAGATTTCCCTTCAAGAAATATTCGTAATACGGAGTCAGATTGATCCACAGGAATAGAAAATAGAAAATACACACGTCTACCGGGGAGGACCACAAAGCACAAAGTAGACTTTCATGACACGGAAATGGCTATCTGTGTTGTACTTACAACCAGATAAAGTTGGGACTCACACGATGACTTATGGGACGATCAGCGCTAGGGCAGGCTGACTGACTGGGGCGTCACAGCTGGGGACGAGTGAGCATCCTTCCCGCAGGGACATATCAGCCGAACGAAATAGGGGCTTAGGGAAAGACGCACCGAAACGCGGGGTTTGCGAAAAAGGAAGAACGGAACTTGGTTTGTAGAGATCAACATTCTCGAAGCAACCAAGTTTTGCGAATTATGCGTTACAGTCGCACACAGCACCACACTGTATTAGCTTCAACAAGATCCGCAAAGTTCCCTCGTGGGTATGGCAAGTTCGATCCTAAAATGACACTGATGTACGGTCAGGTGCTGGAAAGGGCGCTGGAAGATAGCGTGATCCTTAGTGTTTCTAGAATGAGCCTTGGCCCGCTTGGGGGGAAGCGGTCTGTTTCTGCGGTGTATAGCTTTGCGTGTCTTGTCTCCAGCCTTGAAACTGGAATTGTAGCTCGCAGACCTAACATTGTAAAGTTAACCCTCAGGTTGCGGCAGGATATATATTCACCCGAGGAAAACAAAGCGAGTCACACTTTATCAATGAATAAGTTTTGTGTACTTCAGACTCACGACATGGATTGAAATATATGCTAACAATATCTGACCGTGATATCGACTTTTCTGCTGGATTTTGGGACTTTGGAGTTGCTTTGGGGGTAGAGAACAAACACGTAGCACGCCACTAAACGGCCAACGTAATTTAAATCCGTACTGTATACTTTCGCGGGAAGTAACCGAACCTGCCCAACGGTTTGATCTTCTTGGCGCACTTCCCCAAGCTCTTCCAAACTTCAATATTTCAATTTCTAAGAGCCAGAAACTCAGAGCACACAAGTTACATCATGCAAGACATGCTGTTCCGGAATCCCCATGAAAACAATACTTATATGTACAAATGCGCATTATATGTACCACACCATAATTACTCTATGTGCTCAGACTTACACCGTCACGACGACATAGCGGCGGGGAGCCCTTCTTCCACCATCTTCTCTTCGATGTTTCGTATTGGTTCACCTTTGATCACTTTCTTTACTTCTTCGACGTCCAAAGTCTCGTGTTCTACCAAAGCACGAGCAAGCTAGACGACATGATCAGAGTTGGATAAGAGGACTACATCTTAATAAAAACGTACCAGATGTAGTTCTTCCTTCTTCTCAGCAAGCAACTTGGTGACGCGATCCTGACCTGATTGCAACAGACTGCGAGGCGTTTGAATCAGTAAGTGTCTCAACGGGAACGAAAGGTAGGGTGGAATGAATTCAGTCATAAGAGAAAAGGCGGTGACACTGACTTTCTTATTTCTCCGTCAATCTTCTCCCTCGTCGCGGAGCTGATAACATCGTCTCGATCATTGTAGAACACAGGCCCAATTTTCTCAGAAAATCCCCAATTCTACAGTGAATTAAAGTATCATCAGAAGAGCGAACGTGTAGTCAGGATTAAGCCCTCACCTTCACCATAGCGGACGCTGTCTGCGTTGCCTTCTGCAAGTCAGAGCTTGCCCCACTTGTGGTCCCATCTGCGCCGTAGACTTCCGCGTTTGTCAGTCACTATTATTTCACGCTCTTTAGTAATGCAGCTTACTGAGCTCTTCGGCTACCCGTCCACCCATGCAGACATCTATCATAGCTTGATACTCTTTTTGCGTCACAGAGTACCGATCGTTCTCAGGCAGTTGAGAAGTCTAGGTCAGGAAAATATTAGCCGCGACCATCACATCATGACATCAGGATACGTACTACTCCTAAAGCGTGTCCTCGGGGAACACAAGTGACCTTATGAAGAGGCATGGCACCTTCTGTATATAGAGCAACCAGGGCATGACCCCCCTATTACCCATCCGCTTAGCATGAGAAAAGCTAACTACGGATAGAGATAAAGTACCTCGTGATAGGCAGTCATTAGTTTGTTCTTCTCATCAATATACTGACTCTTTCGTTCGGTGCCTAAGATAATACGATCCTACAGGAAACCATCAAAATTACATAAAGAAGAAGTACAGGTTACTCACTTTCGCCCATTCAAAGTGTTGTAGGGTAACCTCATTGAAGCCCTCTTTAGATGCCTGAATCGCGGCCTGGCTACGGAGAACGTAAGTAATGTCATATTGATGAAGGGGATAAAAGGAGCTCACTTGACCATGTTTTGTAATTCGGCACCCGAGAACCCAGGAGTACCTCTAGCAAGAACCGAGGGGTCCGCAGCTATGGTTTCATTCAGTTAAGGTTCGTACTTGGCCAAAACTAACGCACCTGTACTGGTCACGACATCTTTCATGAAATGTTGCAAGAGTTGTACCCGACCGCGGACATCAGGTAACGGCACTGCAATTACCCTGTCAAATCTACCAGGTCTCGTGAGAGCACTGTTGAGAAAGGGCGCCAGTTAGTCGGTTACACTAGCGGTAATTAAACGAATACCGACTGGTCCAAGCTCTCGGGAAAGTTGGTTGCCGCGATGACTATGACACCTTCAGTTTGCAAAAATCCGTCCATTTCTACTAGCAGCTGGTTGAGGGTTTGTTTCATGTAGTGCTGATCACGATGGCTTCGCTTTCCCCCGACGGCATCAAGCTCATCTATGAAGATGATAGCAGGCTGGCGTTTCCTAGCAGTTGCGAAGAGGTCGCGGACGCGTTTTGCACCAACCCCGACAAACATCTCTTCAAACTCGGAACTGTCGAAGAATGGTCAGAGATACACTGCTCAAACTGCTGCTACTGCTACTCACCCGGATGCAAAAAAGAATGGAACTCCAGCTTCACCAGCGATAGCTCTCGCCAACATAGTTTTACCCGTCCCAGGGGGGCCAGTGAGCAAGATGCCCTTGGGTAACTTACCGCCGAGGGTAGCAAAGACGGTAGGATCCTTCAAGAAGGCAACAACATCGCGGAGTTCCTATGGAAAAGAAAGAGGTGTTACAAATGGCATAACGTCTGAGGCATTTGACCAACATCTTTCACTTCATCGACACCATGAACGTCGTTGAACTTCACTGTCTTCTGTTGCAGAGGCTCAAACTCAGCCTGACGCGGCACGGGTTTAAGAAGTCCAGAGTTTTCCAATAAGACGGAGAGAATGACCAGGATAACTGAAAGATACGATATGAGTACGAAACCACTGCACTGATGTCTTACATACAAAACCCGCCCAATGCCGTCAGGACGAGGAATCGAACGAGTCGAATGGCCACAGATCCTTTCGCTGAAGGCAGGGCACAATCAGTGATGAATATAATTTGGTGCGTGGATGTACATACGTTCGCTGATAGTGACGTGTATTGGGTTACCACTTATACCGGCGCCGCCACCAAGAGCTGCGGTCAGTTTTGCCATATCTGCACTTGCAATCCCAGGACCCCCAGGCGCAGATGCTGTAGAGCCAGATGCTTCTGCAGAGAGTAAACCTTGGGCAATCTCCTGACTCCGCGAAGTGGCTTTACTTGGCGCTAAAGGAGCGGTCGCCGTGTCGGGAGAAGCGGGAGTGGAGGACGACGTTCCACTGGCAGTAGTATCCGGAGCTATCGCGTCTGCAGGTATGGCAAGCAGAGATTCCCGTCTGCGAACTGCGGAGTTTACAGAAGATTCCAAGCCGGTTTTGAGCAAAGACGTAAGGTACAGTTGGAAAGCTGTGTCCGAGCGAACAAGATGTGACGACGAATCCTGTAATATGCATTTTGTTTGATCAAGGTTATGAACGGCAGAGACTTGGTTGTACGCACAAATTCACACATTCGCTCCCATCGAGTAATGACAAGATCGTAACCAGGTTTGGCATTTGTTTCCGCGAGAGCCTGGAAGAGGGCCACTTGCTTAGACACGTCGTGAGGATGAGAATTTGCATCCGCTTCAAGCCGAGCAATGTTGGCCACGATAGCAGGAGATGGAGTTGCGGTGGGTTTAGACCAGGGAAAGACGGAAGATAGAGATAGTGGGCGACGGGACGACGGTGGACATGATATTAGAATATGAGACTTTGATACTAACGGCGAAAGACCTGATAGAAAAAGAGGATTTCTAGCAAGCGAAGGCGTTGGACGAAAAGCAGAGAAAGAACGAAATTGAAGAATGCTTTTTGGAGACAGCGACACCGCTGTGCGCCCCGGAGCGCGCAGAACGCCCACAAGCTAGACATACCACATATGTTTTAGTTTTGTGCACAAGTGTTGCAGAATGATACTCACCAAGAACGGTACGGACATGCGACGCAATGTTTGGCGGTCGAGCTTTGGGAGAAAGGCCCGATCCCGCACACGCAAGAAAAAATGGCTGTGCTAGGGTTAGGGTTGCAATATTGGCTCGGCCGGGCACACACGTCCGAGTCCTTGTCACTGCCCGACGCGATGAGCGATAAGCAAAAAGGTGCGTGTCCACCGCTGAGCACGACGAGCTGGCCTGATAGTGACATACAGCGATTGTATCCCTCACCTTTGCATCTGAAACATGTTCTGCTTCTCTTTCTGCACTGTCTTCCCCTGATACTTCCAACTCGCAACCACAGACAACAGATTTATCTGTTATCCTCAAAGATCTGGACTCGCTGCTTTCTTTGATATATGCATCCACAACAAAAATATCACTTGTTCTAAAACCCTCCTCACCGACTTACTCCGCCTCTCTGACACCCATCCAAGATCTTTCAAAACACATATCTCGCCTCGTCCACTGCAACAATCTCCTTAGTCCAGATATACACGGGCTCACTCTGTCGAAAGAAGTTGCCTATCTTACGACAACTATAATCGAATCTATCAGGGCTCTTGTACAGACCTTTCTGAATCTCGCTGCTCATCCGTCATCTATCGCTAGCTCTAGCCAAGCAGGGGAGGAATATCTAGTGCGAACCGGAACAGTTCACGATCTCATCGAAAAGGCGCGCGGTCCAAAGGGTATACCGAAGGATAACTTGACTGCCGTACGGAAGAAGTGGAAAGAGGACAAGGGCCCACTCGAAGATGGATTCAGGGAAGTCGGTGAGATGATTGAAGACGCAAATCAAGGTGGCAGCGAGAGTTCAGGAGAGGATGATGATGGCTGGGATGAGCTTGGTCTGGGATCGAGTAGCGGCAGGAAGATGGACAAAGATGAACTGGAGCGGACCAAGAATGTACAGAAAATGTTTATACTATCACTTTTCTGTCAATTTAATCCGTCATTTGCAGGTTCACAAAATTCTACGCCTGACAACTCTGTTGCACAAACGGATCCTTATGGATCTCCTGTCGTCCTCATCCTCGGTTCCGTCGAATGTTGCCCTCGACGCGCTTTTAGTACAATCAGGCGCTCTCCTTGCTGCTTCGGACGATTTGGTGTCCACTCTTTATGTCCCACAAAATTCGCAGACGGTACATGAAGAGTTACAATCATTCTTGGACGTCGTCAAAGCGCTGCAGACAGGACTCCAAGCATTCTTTCCAGCTGCAGAGGATTTGGAGAAGCAATTCAGTAAAGTCACCATCCAAGGCGTCGGCGTCACTCAAGGCTCAACAGAACAAACTGGAGATAAGGTGAAGACGAACAAGAAGTGGTTTGACACATGCTTCGATCAGATATATAAGTTAGGAGCGACCTTTGAGAATGCGTTGAAGCAGAATATAGCTGATTCTGTACGTGGATCATGACATCCAGATTATTTTCTGTTGTGTCTGGGAGAAACAAGTCAAGGCCCATTGAAATTATCCTCAAGTCTAAATGTGTGATTACGATAGTCCTTTTGCCTAAATGATGATTGTCCAAAAATGTCCTAGACTCTATGCTTCACCTTCCTCCTTCCCCATGCTGCCAATATCCTTGACTTTATCTCTCTGCCGCTTCCTTTCCCTCTCGTAATCATCCCGAAACTTTGCAGCCAAGAAATTAGGGTGAAGAGCTAAGCTACCACTTTGTCTCAATCTATCTTCAAACCGCGAAATCTTGTCGGCTTGGGATTGTAGGTCAAAGGTGTTTTTCTGCAAGCATGCAAGTACGCAGAGTGTCATTATCTCGAATAATGCAACCCACGGGGGGAAACTTACAGTCTCTTCTGCCCTTTTGGCTCTAGCTTCGTCTCTCATCTTGTTCAGTTCCTTCCGCCTCTCCTCTTCCTTCTCTTTTCTGTTCAGTCCGGAACGGGGGCCAGCTCCGCCAGGCTATATGACAGGGTAAAAACATCTATGGTAAGGCAAGATAACAGCACCTACATTAAACAGCTCGGCGTAGACGGACGCATTTCGCAAGTCAAAGTCCGCGCTTCCAAGTAATGCTGCAGGTTTTCGTGGGACTGTTGGCGGCGTCGTAATCTGAGAAAGGTCGTCTGTAGACTTGGTACTTGTCATAGGCGGCTTTGGAGGCGCAGGAGCCTGCGTAGCCGTAGGTGTGACAGCTGCCGAGCCTGCTGGCTTGGTCTTTCTGATAGTAGGCAGTTTGCGTTTCTTTGGGATTGCCAAGGAAGCGGTATCTCCAGGTGTGTTGACAGAAGTCGTACTTGGTTCCACTTCGGGAGCAACAGCGACAGGATCTACGACTTCGTCTTCATCTTTGGGTGGAGACTTGGGGCGTGGACGTTTGATTGACGGTGCACTACTTTCGGCTTTGGGTGGAGGCAATTTCCGTTCATCTTTCATTACGATCTCTTTCTCCTTTTCTTTCGTTGTCTTGCCCTTGGAGCCCTTCGTAGTAGAACTGGCGTATTTACCTGCCTTCCCTTTCCCAGGACCCTTCGCCCTTGATGAACTCGCACCCTTTCTGGAAGACGGCTCGGGTTCGAAATCGTCGTCATCATCATCCAAGAAGGGCTGTGCCCCTGCATCATGTACAACATCCTCCTCCACATTGAAGTCGTCCTCGTCGTCCGAATAAACCACATGTCGTTTCTTTTTTGACGATGTACCTCTCCTAAGCGGGTTCGAGTCCGACGTCGATCTCTTCGGTGAGGGAGAGCGGGTGGGCGGTTCTGGAGGAAAACTCGTGTCGTCTGCAGCACTGTGTTCTTCATCACCCTCGATATCTATCATCATCTCTTCATCATCATTGTTATCCGCCGCAAAGTAATCTTCCGGTTCAATGGTTTTGACCCGCTTACTCTGCGGTAGACTACGTTGTGGGACAGGAGCAGCCTGAGCAGACGAGTCGTCATCATCCTCGTCGTCTGTGTCTATATAACGGCGCTTGGATGTTGTTCTACGTTTCACAGATGCTGCTTCTGAGGAAGGCTGCTCAGGTAACGGGCGAAATGTAACTGAGGATTAGCGCCTGTAGATATCAGATGATTTTGTTGGGAATGCACCTGGGATGATGTGCTTGTTTCACGCGTCTTACTTGGTATCTTTATGCGAAACGACATTCTGAGAGAAAGTTAAGACGATGGCGATAATGCAAGAGCTGGAACTGAGATTCTGAATGGGAGGAACGATGGTGTTGGACAACAATGGCAAATACTCGTATTGCGGACATAATCGCTGGCTCCGAATTGACAACATGCCTCGATATTTCACATAGGAGGACGTAGAGTAAAAGTACCCACTGAGCGTACGCTACAAAGGAGAACCTGAGCTATATCAATGTGGGCTTGGTCAAATTTGAGTGTAGAGACGAATGTCACAGTTTCATTCCTGGAGTGCATCTCAGGTTGCCAACCCTCCTGTGGAATGAATACGAGTCGCTATAGTTGTACGCAGTATGTTTCTGTGAGCCATTACACGCGTTACACCAAAGGCCTTTTATCAGAAAGCGTGGCAAGGGACAATGCACGAGGTTCAAGCAGTGGCCGGCACAACCACCGACCATGTGTCACCTACGTATATTTGACAGACCTCGCATTTGGAGGGCAGAATGGGTTGCATGTGTCGCCTGCACTGGGTGTGATTACTCGAAAGTGGGGTTGCTCATCTCCGTTTGTTGCCTGAACACACCAATTCCGCTAGCATAGGGAGTATAGCCCGTATTCACGTCACACAGTTTCTCTTGGAGATCTCTCAGTTTTCATCCATATGGTAATGGCGTTGAAAGAACGTGTTGATTTGTCCTAATTCCCGTCCATCCAATACAACAGCCAAATGGCCAAAGTTAGGGTAACGACGATGGCGTAGTCGTTTTCCCAAAGTAATCCCATTGGCCCTCATCAGGCTTCTCCTCCAGTGGCTCCCATCTAAGCATGACAGGTAAGATGAGAAGTACACGCGAAGGATACAGCAGACGTACCCTTTCCACTCCAACATTTTCTCAACAAGGCTTTTCTCATCGTTTGCGATGTCTATCGACTCCTCGATCTGACCCTCATCCAGCTGTGTCTCGACTGCTCCGATATCGCCATTCGCACTCTGCACGATATTGAGCTTGTGTTTCGTCAAAGCCTCTACGCTTTGCCTGTAAACGGATGTGGGAGGGAGAGTGGAAAGCAGGGATAGTGTGGATTGATAGGTCTGGGACAGTTCTGGTAATGGATTGGGGTGGACTGCGAGCCCAGTGATGCCCGTGGACTTCTTGAGAACTTGGAACAGCGGGCGCGTGAGTCTGAGCATTTTCGTCGTCGTCGTTGTCTGCAGACAAGTGGCGAATTTGGTCGGTAATAGGGAAAGTCACAAGTCCACGGATGTGGTCCATCGGTCCATCAGAGACGCGTGACACGGACTATTCGCTGACTTTGGAAATTTCCAGTTTATGACTTTCACAGACGTTCTTTACAGTGAACCAACCCCTCAGTTACCGCAACCGTGGCTCTCTGGTAAGTATCGAACGCGTATTACAGGATGCATATCCGTCATGTCTCATTCCAACAGAGTTGTAGGACTTTTGGGTTGCTAATAGGCTGAATTGGTCTCAAAATGCATTTTCTACGTCCACTTGTTCGACAACGTCGCACTCTCTTCTCAAGGCAATATGCAAACCTTAGAGCAGATCCTGGCAAATACGTGACCGTTCTCAAAGAACAGTACCCAACTGACCAAATGACCAATATCACTCCCACCATAATATCAAAGCTTCCCCTTCGTTTGCATACCCAACCTTCGCATCCTCTCAGCACGCTTCGCGCACTAATCGAGTCCCACTTCCCAACTTACGCTCATCTTTCCTCCCTGTCGCCGCTCGTCACTCCGTATCAGAACTTTGACCTCCTTTCCTTTCCACAAGACCACCCGGGTCGCTCGGTAACGGACAGCTACTATGTGAACAAGGATCTCATGCTCCGCACTCATACCTCTGCGCACGAGGTCGATGTTTTCAGTAAAGGAACAGAGAAGTGGCTTCTCACTGCTGATGTATACAGAAGGGACGAGATTGACGGCTCCCATTATCCTGTTTTCCACCAGACTGAGGGAGCGCGTATATTCAGTGCTGATGCTTCGGGCATGAAAGAAGTCGAGGAGGACAACGCGCGCCTTCTAAACCATCTCAAACGCTCAAACATCATCATCGAAGATGTCCCACACATAAGTGCTGCAAACCCTTGTCAGCCTGCACATGACCCCAAACACACCGAGTTAATTGCAATGAACCTGAAACTGTCATTGAACAGTCTGATGTTGCACTTGTTTGGTGGAAGGGTAGGTGCAACTGAGGAAGGTCCGCTCCGTGTACGATGGATAGAGGCTACGTTCCCCTGGACAACTCCGAGCTACGAAGTCGAAGTCTTTTTCCGCGGTAAATGGCTTGAAATCCTGGGTTGCGGTGTCATAAAGCAAGCCACCCTGGATAATTCGAGTAGGTCACATTATATGTCAATTTTAGTCTCATTGTTATTGAATGTGTTCAATAGATGTCCAGAACAAACTGGGATGGGCCTTTGGTCTTGGGCTAGAACGCATAGCCATGGTTCTCTTCTCAATACCGGATATTCGCTTGTTCTGGTCACTAGACTCGCGTTTCCTATCCCAGTTCAACCAAGGGGAGATAACTACTTTCCAATCTTATTCTAAATATCCTGCATGCGTCAAAGATGTTAGTTTCTGGCTACCCGAGAACACCTCACTGCACGAGAACGATTTCTGTGATCTAGTACGAGACGTTGCCGGAGACATTGTGGAGGATGTGAAGATGGTATGTCCTGTACGGCTTGCACCCTCACACCTTGCTAACTTTTGGAAACAGATCGATGATTTCATTCACCCGAAAACCAACAAAAGGAGCCTGTGCTACCGTATCAACTACCGATCCATGGACAGGTATGACTCGCTGAGAACTCGCGATGCATACATATATTCTGACCATTTTCTAGATCACTGGTCAATGACGAAACTAATGAGATACATTCTCAAGTCGGGTCACGCCTGCGAGATCGGTTCGGAGTTGAGATTCGTTGATTATCAGTGCTACATTAATGTCTATCGTGAAAGACCAGTCGTAGAGCCTCTAGAATATATATATAACCAATCACCCTCTCAAGCTACTCTGTCATCCCAAGATTGAAGACAAAAAAGTCCGCCGATCTACACAGGTCATGACTGCTCTTGTACGACACCCACTTGTGCAGCCCTCAGTAGCCGGTCTTTGATGGTGTAACCAGTCTTTTGGCACTCTAGCACGGAACCTGGCTCTTTGCCTGGAATGGGCGCTTGGTATAGTGCTTCGTGGCGGTTGGGATCGAATTTGTCACCAGTGGGATCAAAGGGCTTGATGTGGTATTTGAAGAGGGTTGAGAGGAGGAGTCGTTGCGTCATCTCGACACCTAGATGCAGCTCGTTGAGGTATTCCTGGGGGGACTTGGACGATGGAGAGGAGGAGTTAGATGAGTCAGTGGGAGGTGGTGCTGAAGAGTCTGAAGACTCGGTTGGCGTTAAAGCGGACCGGGGTATTGATGAAAGAGCGAGAGCAAGGACATCCACGGTTTCAAGCAAATCACCTGCAAAGCGGGTGATAGCAAAGTCACGTTGCTGTTCTTTTTCTCGGGCAGCATTACGCTGCAGGTTGAGGAAGTCTGCTTGCAGATATCTTAAACGAGACTACACGTCGCAAAGCAAGGTGATGCAATGTCAGTTAAAGGCCTAGGTTGGGTGTGAATGGGAACTAACTGTCAAGTCAACTGTCTCAGCCTCCTTTGCTTTCAGCTTTGCCAACAAGTCTGCCTCTGGTGACACGTCAACTGTTCCGTCGGCTGCCTTTCTGTCTCCATCCTTTCCCTCCGCATCTGTAGTTGCACTGGACTTTCCATCAGTATCTGACGCCTTGTCTGAGTAATACCGCATGCCCATAGCTAATGGACGCGAGCGAAGAACGAGGACATTGGAAGACGAGCGGCCGATTGCTCTGGACGACAATGAAGCCGTACATGAGCGCAAGACCTGGCGAGCGGATACTGAGTTCATTAAGGGCTACTTTTGAGTGAGTTTATGAGGGTGGTCGTCGTTGGGAGTAGCCACGAACGGATTCACGGGCTGAATGGAATGACGGTTTTGGTGCAGCCGTGCCAAATTTTTCGGGATGGGGGAGCGTGGGAACCAGGAGGTGTTTCGGCCGTAAGGGCAGGGCCAAGTCCGAGGCGGGGGAGGACCTGAAAGGGCTGGTAAGCGAGAAAATGAGCCTCAAGGACAGGAACAGAAAAAATATGAGTAAGATAGAAAAAGACAAAGATGATGGCTTGGGTAAGTGGAAAAGAACACTCTTCTCTCTTTTTATAACGCGGGTATATGCCAGAACACTCACCGCTCGGTCTGCAGTCTTTCGTTTACACGCCCATCGCTGGTAGACCGGCGCAAACCAAAGCAAATACCACGCCAGATGGCCTCTATTTATTACCCGCGACTGCATGCTCTTCGCTTTCCCTATCTCTTATCCACAACACATCGTAGGGCAATCATGACAAGCAGCCCCGTAACAGCAAAGGTCATCGATGGCAATCTCGTCGCAAAGTATGTCTCCCACTTAATTCTCTATTCACACCCCCTCATCTCTCCCAAGGTCTATTCGCGATAATGTCGCTGAGCAGATACAGACTTTCCAGGCAAAATTTCCTCGTTTCCAGCCCCAGCTCACCATCGTGCAAGCTGGCAGTCGTCCTGACTCTAGCGTTTACGTTCGCATGAAAGCAAAGGCCGCCGAGGAAGTCGGTATCAAATTTAGACATGTTACACTCCCAAACGAGGCTTCAGTCGAAGAGGTCGTCAGTGTCGTAAAGAAACTTAACGATGACGAGCAAGTAAGCGGTATACTCGTTCAACTCCCCCTGGGCGCACATGTGGGTGCCGATGGGGAGCGCGTCGTCACTGAGGCTGTCTCGCCGGAGAAAGACGTCGATGGGTAAGTCTCACTCCACTTGTGGGAATCGTCCCTGTATTGAGACATCACATTGGTAGATTCCATGCTTACAATATCGGTCACCTGTCTTCTCGTGCTTCTTCTCCTCTATTCGTTCCTTGCACTCCTGCCGCCGTGATCAAGCTCCTAGAATCTACTGGTGTCCCCCTAGATGGTGTAAATGCCGTTGTACTAGGTCGTAGCGATATCGTTGGAAATCCTGTCGCAGCTCTCCTTAGGAGTCGCCATGCAACTGTTACTCAGTGCCACAGCCGTACCAAAAACATCGAGGAAATCGTAAGAGTAATACCTTAGCTTCGGTTTTCATGATCCTGAGTTTTCTCAGGTTAGGAACGCGGACGTTGTTGTAGCAGCTATTGGAAAGGCCGAGTATATCAAGGGATCCTGGATCAAGCCTGGAGCCATTGTCATTGACGTCGGCATCAACTATATCCCAGGTAATTTTGTACATTTCTCAGATCTGCTTGACTTGAAGGCTAAGTTCTTTATCTCTAGACGCAACTAAGAAATCAGGTCAACGTCTCGTCGGTGATGTGGAATACCTCACTGCAGCTGCCACAGCTTCCCACATAACTCCAGTTCCTGGTGGTGTCGGCCCTATGACTGTTGCAATGCTCATGGTCAACACTCTCAAATCTGCGGAACGCCTCTGGGAAAAAGCCAGAGAACGTAAGATCACACCACTCAAACTGGACATCAAGGAAAAGGTTCCCAGCGACATCGAGATTGCCATGGCGCAGACTCCCAAGCCAGTCACTCAGCTTGCTCAGGAGATGGGTTTACTTCCGGATGAGCTGGAAAGCTATGGTAAATACAAGGCGAAAGTCGAGCTTAGCGTCCTGGACCGTTTGGCACATCGCAAGGACGGCAAGTATATTGTGATTGCTGGGTGAGTTTATTCTATCTTTCAACTCGAATACACATGAACTCTCCCTTAGAATTACACCGACGCCATTGGGAGAAGGAAAGTCCACGACTACCATTGGTCTGGCTCAAGCTTTGGGCGCACATCTCGGACGTCCCGCTTTTGCTTGCGTCCGTCAACCGAGTCAAGGCCCTACGTTTGGTATCAAGGGAGGCGCTGCTGGTGGAGGCTACAGTCAAGTCATTCCTATGGACGAGTTTAACCTGCACTTGACCGGTGATATCCATGCTGTCACCGCTGCCAACAACTTGCTGGGTAAGTAGCTTTAGCATGGACTTGTTACCTTCATTAATTCCATGTCTGTAGCTGCTGCCTTGGACGCTCGTATGTTCCACGAAGCTACTCAGTCAGATAAGGTCACTATTCACCATGTTTTTCCCTGAACGCTATGAGCTAACCCACTCTTAGGCATTGTACAGCCGTCTCGTTCCCAGCAAGAAGGGTAAACGAGAATTTGCCCCTCTCATGTTCAAACGTCTCAAGAAGCTTGGCATTGACAAGACGAGCCCCAACGATCTTACTCCCGAAGAAATCAACCGTTTTGCGCGACTTGATGTTGACCCTGAGACGATTACCTGGAATCGCGTCCTCGACACCAATGATCGTTTCTTGCGTAAAATTACATTAGGCCGTAACCCTACCGAAAAAGGGCACGAACGCGAGGCCGGTTTCGACATCGCGGTGGCAAGTGAATGTATGGCCGTACTTGCACTGACCACTGGCCTCGCAGACATGAGGGAACGTCTGGGTGAGATGGTAGTCGCCACCAGCAAACGTGGAGATCCTATTACCGCTGACGATATTGGTGTCGGAGGAGCGCTCGCTGTCTTGATGAAGGACACTGTCAAACCCAACCTGATGCAGACCATCGAGGGCACACCGGTCTTTGTGCACGCAGGTCCTTTCGCCAATATCGCTCATGGAAATTCGTCTATTCTTGCCGATCGTGTTGCGTTGAAGCTTGCTGGAACGGAAGAAGGCGATTCAGCCGACCGGGTTGGATATGTCTTGACCGAAGGTGGTTTCGGTGCCGATATGGGTATGGAGAAATTCTGCAATATTAAGTGTCGTGTGAGCGGTCTCAAGCCCGATGCTACTATCATTGTTGCGACGACTCGTGCTCTGAAAATGCATGGCGGAGGTCCCGAAGTCACCCCTGGAAAGCCCCTCGCTGATACATACACCAAGGAAGACCTTGTTACCCTCAAGGAGGGATGCAAGAACCTGGTCAAGCATATCCAGAACTCTCGCAAGTTTGGTGTCAAAGTCATCATCGCCATCAATCAATTTGCGTAAGTATATTATTTTGTTCATGATACTTATTCTGATGGCGTATTGCACGATAGCACCGATACTGCTGCTGAACTAGAACTTGTTCGCCAAGAATCGTTGGCCGGTGGTGCTGATGCAGCAGTTGTCAGCAACCACTGGGCGCAGGGAGGATCTGGTGCCCTTGATCTGGCTCACGCTGTAGTAGAAACCTGTGAAGGAGAGTCTGGTTTCAAGTTCTTGTACGACCTCGACCTTCCTATCGAAGAGAAGATATCTGTCATCTCGAAGGAAATCTATGGCGCTGATGGCATCGAGCTCAGCGAGCTGGCCCAGAAGCAAGTTGATACTTATACCCGTCAAGGATACGGAAACTTGCCAAGTACGTCTATGCCGCGTGGTTTTCATTTTGTTTCCTGACCATCTTCGGTAGTTTGTATGGCAAAGACGCAATATTCCTTCTCGCATGACCCTTCGCTTAAGAATGTCCCAACTGGATTCACTATTCCCATCCGTGCCGTGCGCTTATCTGCTGGTGCCGGTTTCTTATACCCCATTCTAGGAGACATGCAGACCATGCCTGGTCTGGGTACACGACCTGGTAAGAGGATTGTCTTGTGTGGGTGTTTGTTGAGATGGCTCATAAACCTTTTGCAGGATTCTGGGAAGTTGGTCTCGATAACGAGACCGGCCGAGTTGTCGGCCTGTTTTAGGTGTATACTGGGTTGTTCTTCTCTCGTTCTCAACGATCGTGAGAGGAAAGTAGCTTTGATCTTCATCAGATAGCTTCCACATTGGAGGCGCCGTCTCAACACGGAGTTTTGTGCCGTTCAACACGAGCAATGTCCCTCCAGGTGTTGTAAAAAGTACGTAGCGCTCATTATCATGGGCATCCCGACGCCAGCCAGCGTCGTACATATATGTTTGTGTGCAGCAGATCTTTGTGAAACCATTTTGCCTTTGCCTTTGCTGTAGTCGAGTTTAATGACCAGTATAACCAGTTGTTTATTTGTCCGTACGAGCAGTGGTAATGTCAGACAGTAATTCTATGATAATGTTACCCCAACTGTCTTTCCACCTGGTAAACGTGCTGCAGGAAGACTCATAGCCTTGGTTGCCTGAGGGAATTCGGGCAAAGCGTTTGTCGCGAGGGAGCCACTTTGCTGATTGAGGGTAATAACATCGTATGCCGCGTCGACATTCCAGGTGAATGTATTGTCTTGGGTATCTGCGTAAACAAAGGTGTTGTTGCTGGTTCCATTGCCGTAGTTTCCACTCGCGGTTTCCCCGAAATATCCGGCTGTTGGAAGACAATGAGCAAGTCGAAAATAACATGACTGTATTCATGCTTACAAGCCAGCTGGCGCTCTGTGATTGTAGAGCCCAGTATGAAAGGAGCGGGCAAGACGTCGCGGTTGTATGAGTGATCAAACGACGAATAGACTATTCGAGATATCAGTACAAAAGAGTCGACCAGAGAACACAGCACGTACATAATGTCCCATTAGTATTCAAGTAGCTGATGTTGATGTTGAGAGGATATTCGAATTGGTCAGACACCGTTGTGACACCGTTGTGCGTTGACAGGATAGTCCCAGTGGCTGTTTGCACCACATTCTGCACATAACTTGAATGACAATCCGTTAACCACACCCTAAAAACAAGCTCACCTGCGTATACGTGTTGTCCAGATAATACTGGGTGTTTGAGTATTCCAGATTCTGCTCCCATACGACTTGATTCTCCTGCCCACTGCCGCTCACGATAGTCGCCTCGATTTTTAGCTGTCGCGTTGCTTTCACTGTAACGTTCACATCTCCACCGCCAACACTCCCCGTCGTCTCCGTGACTGCATACGGCTGCGCCGTGTAGGACGTGATGTTGCCCGTAGTAGGCTCAGAGGAAGAGTCCGTGATAACCTGCAGCAACCCGGTCACATACCAGTTCTCGTTGAGAGTGTGGTTCGCCTCTGCCGATGCGACATCAAGGGAGATATTGTGGGGCAGGCCATCTGCAAAGACTGGAACGAAAGGCGTAAGGTCTATGAAGTAAGTCGGAAGATCGAGTGCTCCGTATGAGGTGATTGGCCTGTTGAACGAGAAGAGTTGGATAGGGGTAATTTTTTGGAATATGGGAGGCACTTACTGCCAGCAGGCAGGATTGATTCCTCCTGTGAAAATGACTGCATAAGGAAAAGCGACACCTGCCACTTGTCCGTCAACGAGCATGCGAACCTCGCGGAACGGTCCACCGCCGTAGGTGGTACCGGCAGGAAGATCGCCGAGGTATTCATCTGCGGTATTGAAGTACTGGAGAAACTGCGCGTAAGTAACCAGAAATCATGCTTCACACGTATATCGTATTTTACCCAAAATTCCTCGTCGCCATTGCCCGAAGCGTAGAGTTCGGCAAATATTTGAACGGTATTTCTGGGCAAAGTCACGTTGAGCTGTGAAAATCAGTGCAAGCTCGTTACAACGACAAGGGGTGCGCCCATACCGAAAAAGTAGGAGGGACAGAGGCGACGTCATCGCTATTGTTGGCCATGGTTGATATGGGGATTATCAGATCTGCCTGGGCAGCAGTCGGGTTCTGTGCAGATGCCGCATAGAATGTCGCGTATAGCGTAGCTGTCGAATCCAATTATAAATCTGCAAGAGTAACGGTCAAAAAGAAAGCTCACTGGCGTATTGCCCAGTTAAACTGGACGTCACTTCATTATCTAATTCCAAGGAAAACGTGCCAGGTTTGGCAAATAGGGGGATATAGCGTGTAACGTCTTTCGAGTATGTCCAGATGATGCCATCAGGTGTGGGTTCAGGAGTCGATGTGCGCCAGACTGGACAGAGTGACAGGCAAATAAGCACAGAATTACTTGTCGCCTTGGAGGGGAAAGAAAGGGGCTCACTCTCGACGTTCTCGAACGTGAATACGCCCAATCGATCATACTGCGTCCCGTTCGAGGTTACTGTGAAGTTGAGGCTAATACCTGCCCATGACCCCACGTCCCCACAATCCGTCGGTGGTCTAATACAAGACGTTCATATGATCTCGAACAATAGGGGGTAAACTTACGTGTATTGCACAACCTCGGGGCTAGAGCGAAACAGTGAGCTTTTCCATCTAGTGTTTCATCGATAATCAACACTTACGTTCCATACGAGTTCCCAAACGTGTATCTGACACCGCGAGTGAGTTCGGAATAGGGTAAGGGGTTAGGGAGTACACGCTTACTCGAACATCTTCACCGTGCAGGTTTGTGCATCCTGAGCGATGGGTAGGGGCTCGGCAACCTGGAAGTCGACCAGGACTGTTGCCCTGGCCAGCGCTACGAGTAGCAAGCCAGAAAACAGCTTTGCAAAGGCACTTTGCAGCATCGGATTTTCCTGTCGACGTTGAAGACTGAGCGACGGTGGGAACTAGCACTGGCCTTGGGTTGGCTGGCGATGTCTCCTGAGAGGAACATAACAGAAATACTTTAAGTACCTCGTGAATCGCGAACCGCGATGCCATATTACAGCAGCTATAATAGCGTATAGCGTGGTTCTCTTCGGGAGAACTTGTGATGAATTCCCCTGATATGTTATCGAGAACATGCCCATGTGCTCACGGCCAATGCGACCGGCGGGTGAACTGGTCCAGGTGTGGGAGATAGACAACATACTGCTCGGCAAGCCCGCCCTTCCAAATTTGATCTGATAACACCTTTACTGAGAACTAGATAGCAGGGGTTAGAATAAATATATAGCTCCTTGTAAGACCCGGAGCGACAAATACCATATTGGCTTTACAATAATTAAAGGCACGAAGGGACGAACAGTAATTACTTGCAACTGTTAAGTAAACAGACGCCCATAACATTCCACTAGATATACTTGAGCTCTTTCCTGTTTACAACTCATGACTGAAGACATCCTCCGTCGTGGAGATGGCATGGCCGTTACCAGCATTGCCGTTGCCCTCCGGCACATCTCTGCGACTATCATATAGCCCACCTCCGGCGTCTTCAGGGAACTCGGTGGTCGAGCCACTGTGCCTGGAATAGGTATCACCGTCACCCACCGACGACTTGCTCTTCTTCTTCTTTTTCTTTTTCGACCCCGACTGCTCTGAGAGAGAATATGCATCCTCTGTGCGTGCCCACCGATCCTTCTTATCCTTCTTCTTCTTCTTCTTCGACCCACCCGAGGAGGGAATTGCATCTTCAAAGTTGGCGGGATAATGCCACCTGCCACTGCCAGTACCAGAACCTGCTGTATGAACACTGTTGGAGTCGCGTTCTGCATTGTAGAAGGATTCCTCATCTTGATGCCAAAGATCGTCATGGGGCCGCTGGGGCTGGCCAGCAGCAGTCGAGTCCTGGCGAGAGAGCGATGACGAATGCTGACCGGCCTCATAAGGCTGGTCTTCGAGAGTGGAGTGAGGGTTACGATCGTTATAGCGGGATGCCCACTGAGAGCGTTGCTCGTGGCGTTTGATAACAGATGTGTCGACAAGGCCGTAACGCTGAGCCCACTTTGGTGTGCGGGAATGATTCTTGTTGTTGCGTACGTTCTATGAAAAGTGAGTGTAAGCCCGTCATGATACGCCAGAGAAAGCGACAAGTTGCTAAGGGTTCCTTACCTGTATGTAAAAGTTATGGGCATGGCCTAATTGAAGGTATTTGCGGTAAGTGTTGTAACATGCGCAGAAGAGAGTCATACACCAACGCACCAGGGAAGTATCCACAGATAGTGCACAGTAGATTTGTCCAAAAATCCGAGCCTAACCCGAACCTTGCCGCGACGGCTGAAGACACGGACGACGACGACAGACATCAGATTGCCGCTCACCCACGAAACGAAAGGTGAGGCTTACCAAGGGGAGGAAAGAGGGTACCCATGATGAAGAGAAAGACGGCATAGCCGTGATATCTCTTTGGCTTAATGGCTGATTGCGACTGAGCTGGAGCCATCGTCGTTGTCGTTGTCGTCGTTGCTGCGATAGCTGCACATGAGCGGAGCAAACCTGGTTGTCGGTCTCAATTTGAAGGGTCGCCCAGTACAGCGCTGCACGTGGCTCCTCCCGCCAATAGCCGGCCTCTTTGTGTCTTCGCCTTTCAACCGTCAGTCCACAGTCAAACTCGCTGTTTGACTGAAAGTGCTCCAAAGGTATCATGGACATCGAAGGCAACAGCGAGCTTGCGGAAATTGCCATACCCATGAGGCATGTGAGTTAATTATCCCACAACCATTACTGAAACTACTTATATTGTTATTCGTTACTCAGTAATATTCACCCACTCCATTCTGGGTTTCAGTCCAACGAATTATATTAATACCATTCGAGTTTTCTGCGGGAACGTTCCAGAATAGAAATTGGCAAGTCTTTGGAACCACTTCTATGCTTAGTTGCAACTGCGGGACGTCTTGTACTTGCCATCTGCTCGTATATGCTCAGCGCACAACAGAGCAGATGTGTACATCTATTCCACTCGTGGTGCCGAGCCCACAGTTAGGCCATTGGTCCTACATTTATCACCAAAAAGATGGGCTGTCTTCACCTGGCAAGCAACCACTGACACCGAAACAGTGCCTCTTCGCTACAAAGCAGGTCCCATCACCACTTGATTTCGAAAGGCCATTTCCGATACCCATCTCGCAGATATCATTACCTTCAGGGGGGTCATTATCGAAAGACTGTTGGCGTCTCCAAGTTATGCATAACGATCGGAACAACCCGTCACGCCGGGGCAGTATAAGTATCACATCCTTTCAACAAGTAATGACCGCTCACTATACATAAATTTCATATGGCTGTTCTCGCTCTTCGTCTTACCACACAGCATTGCCCAGCCTGCCAGGACTTCTTTCAGAGTTCCTGTCGACTGTCTCCCCACTCACGTCAGCGCTCGCTCTAAAACAGAAATTGAAACGTTGCTATGTGAATTACAATTGTGTTCAAAGCACCTATACAGATCATCATACACGTATTACAGTACGCAGTTTGACAGCAAGACTATTGTGATACACTCTTTCGGTTTTCTAGTTTCAATCTTTAACTTGAATTTATCACGACTGAGCAATTGGCTCGGTTTCGTAGAACTTCATTACGTCTTTGACGTCGTCCTTGCTGCCAAGGAATACAGGGCATCGCTCGTGAATGCTCGTCGGAACGATGTCGAGAATACGCTTTGTGCCTGTTGTTGCAACGCCTCCAGCCTGTACAAGCGTGTTAGTTTCTCAGCTTGCAGGATTTGAGCAAGCTGTCAAGATGTGTACTAACCTGCTCCGTCAAGAATGCCATCGGGAATGCCTCGTACAGCAACCTCAGCTTTCCCTTCTTACTCTTTCGGTCATCCGGATATCCGAAAATGCCACCATACAGCAAGGTGCGATGCACGTCTGCAACCATAGACCCAATGTACCTGGCGGAGTATGGGTTACCGGTCGAAGGATATTTTATAGACTTGAGGTAAGCGGTGACGGGTGGGTAGAAGTACATCGAGTTGCCCTCGTTGAATGAATAAATTTTCCCCCGGGGAGGTATTTTGATCTGTCGATTAGAGATATCAAGTTAGAAATAGGGGATCAGTGACGCGAAAGACATACATCAGGATGGGTCAAGATGAATTCTCCAAGAGCAGCATCAAGAGTGTAACCGTTCACACCCGAACCGGTCGAAAGGACGAGATTGGCAGAAGAACCGTACCTTGAACAAGGAATTTAAGGAGAAGCCGGGTGAGAACGGAGGTTGAAGACATACATAGTGTACCCTGCAGCTACCATCTCGCACCCGGGCCGCAAGACGTCTTCGATAGTGCCTTTCGAGTCTGGTCTCTGTGATGCGATCGCGTGAGTGACTGGTATTCGTATTAATTGCTGAAGAGTGGCAAGATTCGGACATACCACTTCATAGATGCCAAAGATAGTACCGATGTTGACACCAGCGTCAATGTTGCTACTTCCATCCAAGGGGTCGAAGACGACGCAGTACTTTCCGCGGTACCGTTCTTCAATAATTATAGCATTGTCGAGTTCTTCAGAGACAAGGACGGCGGTCTTTCCCGACGCGCGAAGTGCATTCACCATGATGTCATTGGAGAGGACGTCTAGTTTCTTCTGCTCTTCGCCCTGGACGTTTGTCTCGCCGGCAAGGCCAACGCTGTGGGACGTCAACGCGTCAGGGAGGATGAGACACACGACGGACGGCGCTTACAGATTGATGAGACGTGCTTTACGGACATTGGTGGCGATGAATTTGGATGTGACCTGGATTGCAGTCAAGAGGAGGGTGAGATCGCCTGTTGCTGCTGCACCGAGACGCAGCTGGTCGTTGAGAACATGTCTAGCGCATGAAAGTGAATAAAGGCGAGTAAGGGGGGAAAGGGAGCTAACCTGGTGAGGGTGATAAGGTCTGTGCTGGGAGGCTCTTCGGTAAGTGACATGGCGGGGTAAGCGGTGTTGTATAGTGGTAAGAGGTTATAGTGGTAAGAGGTTATAGTGGTAAGCGGTTATAGTGGTAAGAGGTTATAGTCTTTGAGGTTACAGTGGTAAGAGGTTATAGTCTTTGAGGTTACAGTGGTAAGAGGTTATAGTCTTTGAGGTTACAGTGGTAAGAGGTTATAGTCTTTGAGGTTACAGTGGTAAGAGGTTATAGTCTTTGAGGTTATAGTGGTAAGTTATATAGTGTCTTTGAACACGGACGGATTCGGACAGCTTTCACCACAGGTTGCCCTCCCTTTCTCACGGTCCGACACGGTCCGGCTGTCCGTACATAGTACATATCAATACAGCAGATTACAGATAAAGCAAGAACACAGCCACAACACATACGCCTTCACCGCTTCCTCTTCGTCCCAACAACAGAAACAGCCTCTTTCCCCTTTCGTGTCCGTAGCGGAATGGGAAACGCATCACTGTCGTCGTCCTCTTCTTCCACGCCCCCCACTCCCTTCTTCCCACCCCCACCAACACCGCCAGTGTATCCACTCTCACCATCACCACTCCGGATCCCACTCGTATTCCGTATGATCCTCTCAGGGCCCCCAAGCTCATCACCCGATCCCGTCTCCTCTCCCTCATCCTCCTCCTGCCCTTCCAACTCTCCATCCTCTCCGTCCTCGTCCGTATACGCACGCGATGACGCCTCAGCAATCGCAGCCGCAATTTCTGCACTGATACTCGCAACCCTCGCCTCAAGTGGTCCTTCCGTTCCACCACCATTCAGGAACTCACTCGACCTCGCAGCTATGTTCCCAACACTTTGCGTGAACAACGCAGAGATCGTGCGCATCGACTCTTCTAGTTCCCGATCGACGTCGTCTGATATCTTCTGTTTTTTCGCCTTGAAGTTATATTTACTGTGCCACATACCCAATAAGCTCTCAGCTTGGTGGTAAACGTACATCATCGATACTCACATGTTCGGATCTGGTTCCCATGATGGATCGTGCGTTCGCATGTGTTGTGTCAATGTCGTTCGTCGTGTAAATGTCTTCTCGCATTCGGGATCTTCGCATTTGTATGGTCGCTTTCCCGTGTGAGTCCTTCGATGTCGCGCAAGACTGCTCGAATCACCAAATGTCTTACCGCACCCTGGATACTCACAGCAATGAGGCTTCTCACCCGTATGCACTCTTTGATGGACGTGTAATGCAGACCGCTGGGTTACATACTTTTAGACATAGTGAATGCTCATTCAAATACCATACGAACCTGAATAAATGTCTTGCCGCACCCATTGTGTCCGCAAATGAATGGCCGTTCGCCAGTATGTATTCGCATATGACGGGCGAGATCACTTCTGCGCGTAAAGGACTTGCCGCATTGAGGATCTTCACACGTATGTAAATGAAGAATCTTCTCCTTTTCTCTCTGTTTCCTTGCCTTCTTGCCTTCTGGGGCAGGTTTTCCGGGTGATGATGATGTAGATGCGACGAGTTGTTGCCGCTGGGGAACTAGGGGAGTTGTTGTAGTTAGAGATGGATGTGAAGGTGCTGGCAATTGTGGTTGTGGTTGTGGGGTGTGGTTCTCTACCTCACTTGAAATGCTTTCATTGGCTGGTGAACTCCCTTCCTCATGGCTAGCTTCGGCCGCTGCTTCAAAGTGTGCCGAAAGATGCGTCAAAATATCGTTCAAGTCGTTGAATTCACCTGAAACAGACGTGTGATGATCTGGCGACGCTCCAGACGTCCGTGCTCGCGGGATAGGTGGGGTCGCATGTCTCATTCGGTCCACCATTCCCTCCATCTCCCCTCCATCCTGCTCGCTCTCACCTTCCGAGGGATAAATCAAATCAAGACCCTCGCCACCGTTTTCCTGAGTATCCTCTCCTGCAATCGACTCTCCTGCGGTCAGCGAATGAAAGGCAGGGGCCGTACGAGTGGTGCGCTTCTCCTTCTCCTCTGCTTCGCGCTGCTGGGCAAACATGGGATCTTTGGCTGCAAGCGCCTCGGCGCGTTCGTTTTCTGCTGCCTGTGCGTGTGCAGCTTGCAGTACGGCAGCGAGTCCACTGAGATTGAGACCGAGACCTGTGATACCATCGCTGCTCGAGATGTCTTGGTCGTGATCGTGGTCGCCATGGTCATCATGCTGACTGTTCACACTGTTGCGCTCGTGTTCGAGGTAGGCCTGGCGTTGTTGAGCGGCTGCGCTGAGGAGTGCGGCTGAAGCGGCTGATGCATTCTGATTGAGCAATGTAGCTATTTCGCGCTCGAGCATCTCTACAGAGAAAGGTTCGGATAAGGATAGAGAATGTGGATGATGGTGGGGGTGTGAGCCAGAATCAAGGTAAGGGGACATGCTGGATGGGGGGTATGGAGGAGAAGACGTATGGGCAGAGTCTGCGTCGACGTCTGCTGCAGATAGTAGTGGGTCGTCATCCTCGCCGAGGGGTTCGTCGTGTACGACGTCCGACAGGTCGAGGACAGGCTCGTCGTGGTCCATGCAAGGGAAATCACGCCCTTCCGGCGGTAATAGGGAGTGATAGAATAGAAATTAAAAAGGTACTGCAGGAGAAATGGTCAACATTGCTGGCGCGAAATAGAGAGCATATGATAGTCACTGTGTTCCTTGATGAAGCGTTCCTGGTGAGTGTGCCCAACACGAAGAATAGCGTATATGGACCAGGTGAGATGGCCGTCGACTGAACCGTGACTGTCGTTGAATGCGGTCTCCGCCACGTGCTCGGGTGGCACGAACAGAGCAGCCTGCCATAACTTCATCTCATTTGCACACCTCAGCTTTATCGTCTTCACCAGCTTTGGTACAGGCACTGGCAGAGGCAGACGTCTTGAAAAACCAACAGGTTTCGCGGACGAACATAGTCAAACGGTACGCAGACATATTTTTATGGTTTTCCTGAGGTTCGCAGCCTTCCGAGTCGTAAAGGCGAGAATCTTCCAAGTGTTTTCAGTCGCTGCCCAATAACATACAGCGAGATGGCATCATGACAAAGCGTCAATACTCTATCATGTCCTTCAGGCTTGCAACGAGTGAGGTTTTGCCCAGCAACGAGTAATTGACAAGAAAGACAATGGCGCAGTGACAAATATCAATGGTCGACCTGCGTGGGCCGAATCTACCGCATTTTGCTTTGAGTATGTATATAGCACCCAAAATACTTGATAGGCCGTTCATTATTGCTACAGGTGGTATGCGTATGCGAATTGTTCTTTATGTAAAGCTCAAGCTTCTAATTAGAAATCCGTATTGCAGTTTGGAGAAACAAGAATTGGTTAGTAAATTGACTCAAAAGTACATGTTTTTCCCAGAACAACCATGCGCCTAGTCCTCCCAAATGTTCACCATCTCTGACTGGTGTGTCATAACAGCAACGTCCTTCCGAATTGGGTTGATGCGCGGATAGACGAACTGATAGCACATGTAAAAACTTATCAAATGTCATCATCAACTTGCAGCGTTGCATTACTCACCCCTTCATTATACTCGGCCATCACCTCAGCCGCAATGATTTCCTTATCTTTAAGTAACGCCTCGTATGCCTTGACTAGCCCATGCATCTGTAAACCTACCCCACCCATTACAAATGCCATGAGAACCCAGTTTGTCGTTCCAGTCGCCATCCATGCCAGTGCGTGTACAGGAGAATAGACGGTCAGCAGCACGCGTTCGAGCTCGCCAGGCGTCCATACCTCGAGTTGCTGCATCTGTGGTTGTTTAGCACGACCTGACGATCCAGGCGAAGGAGTCGATGGAGAAGCAGGACTGATGCCGAGGAGGAATCGCCAAAATGAGACGAACAGCCGCCAGAAAAAAATGAGAAGAGATTTGAAAAGGCGCAGGAGGCGATTGACCAGAGTAGGGGTAGGATTGATAACTGATGTCGACTGCGCGCGAGAGGGCGAGGGGACAAAAGTCGCATGCGGAGAAGAAACCGGATCTGTGCGATGATATATCCTATAGATTCGCGTCTGGGTGAAAAGATGTAAGGCATTCAGAGTTGAGCCACCAAGAAGTAGAAAAGTAGCTGGGACAGTCTTTTGCAGGAAGACGAATCCAAACAGTCAGCTAATATTCAAGCCGTGACTGGGAAAGGACCTACCCAATCAAACCACGAAAGTCCATCGCGTTCTCTGTACATGTCTTCCCAACCGAGATCTGCGTCGGAGATCGCCTGAGCTTGGGCAACACGCACCCACAAGTGAAGAAGGTGCATGCTGGCCCCGATAAGAAATGCACTGGTCTTTGGTGCAGGTAGGGGCAGGTTATTGGGAAACTGAGACAGCTCAAACGCAATCCAAGACGGAATAGAAGATATTCTATGCAGCGGTTAGATGTCAAATCAAAGGATAGAGGTATAGATTTGCACCTCTGGATTATCCCTTTCTTCCGAACCACTCTTTTGGGCATCCCAACGGTTTCTGAACCTGTCCCCGTGCTCATGCGAGCTTTTCTTTTACCTGCTAAAGGAGTTGCATATGGTGGAGGTCTTCGTGAACGTGCCGCCTCCCAGTCGAATGGTGTGGACGACGATATGGACGGCGTAGACGATGGAGAGTTAACATAAGAAATACGCGTTCTGGGGGTGACGGGCGTTTGTGTACCACTACCATTGTGCGAGATAGGTGAGCCCGGGGCTGTCGTTGCGCTTTGAGTCTGTGCAAACCGTCGAAGAGACATCGATACTCAAAGTGCTTGAGGAAGAAAGAAAAGAAAGGCAAAGGGTAGTAGTGAAGTGTCTGTCACGCGTCAGTCACGCGACTGGTGCATTTTGTCACAAGCATCATTTATTTCCTAGTACGTATCGTATGGAAATCAATAAAATAATGGATATCAGGATGAAATTCCAAGGAATTTGCCAGTCATGAATCCGATACTAAACTAGCCACGCCATCGACAGCCTTAGTAGTGCTTCCAAAGCACCTCCTAACGTCCTTATTCCCCAGATATCGTCGTACCACACCTGGAACCATATGCAAGCCATCACCACGCCATATACCACACCCGCTCCTACCTGAGGCCACGTGTGGTACTTCAACCAGACACGAGATAACGTTATCAAGCTTGCCCAAGGGATAACAATCAGCGATACGATCTTGGGCTGAAATATCGATGGAGGCAGTGTAGGATGTGGTGGCAGGTAAAAGCATGCAAGCGGAATGTAGGTGGCGAAGAAAGTGACAGCAGACGCATGTGTGCTAGGCATGCTGAATGTTCCTGCTTGTAAATGTCGAGTGTTCCGGGCACGTAGATGATTGTTATCCGCACCCATACGTCACTCTCCCTCTAGAATTCACATTGTATACTGGCCGCTTTTGCCTCACAGCTCTCTTAATCGCCTTCGCCGAGAATGAACAAAATGTGGCCCCTGCTGCGAAGTATGCTACGCCTGCGGAGCGCGAATACAGAACGAACCCAGCAGTTATGGTCGTGACAATCTTTGAAGTCTGCATATACAAGGTCGTGCCAGCAATGTAGACTCGTCGTAGGCTGGAATCCTATGATGTTTAACAAAACGCACCTCGGCTAAAAATTCAAGCCAAAACGGAAGATGACTATTGTTATTCCTCCTCATCTCAGACACCCGACAAAAAAAAAACCGTTGCTTGATTCTTGGGTTATGTCAGGCAAAGGGAGAGTGGAAGGACAAGCGTGACAATGTAAGCGCGGATGAGTGGCCAGTCACTAGTCACATGACTTGCGTGGAATAAGTTGTTAGGAGCATGATTGCATTCCCTCTGGGCCACTTTCACATTTATGTCTTCAACATCGCCTGCCGTTATACGTTCATCTGGCGTTGTCTCCCCACCTAACACCCAGGATGCATCTCAGAATATCACAACGACAGATAGGCTAGTGCTCGACTATCTGCGATCTAGAGGTCACAAACCAGCAGAAAAGGCGTTTTTGGAGTCCCTCGGAAGCGTTCCCTCGGATGATAACGCAGGACAGTCAGAGAACCTGTTATCTTCTGAAAACCTGATCAAGAACCTGGCTATTCATGTCCAAAAACCGTCTCGTCCTGGTGAGAACCTTCTCAAGGAAGGTTCGAATGTGTTAAAAGAGCTCACTGCAATGGGAAACCCACCCACTGTTCAAAATCTTATCGCCAATATTGGTCCCGTTGGTGCCGAGGAAATCCTATCCCTTGATCCAACCGATAAAAAAGAGGGATTCAGAGAACTGGAATCGTGGGTTGACGGTTCTCTGGATATGTATAGGGTATGTGGGCCACCTGCGTCTGACTGCGCTGAATATTATATTAATATATTTCATAGCCTGAATTCCGACCCATATTGTTCCCTATATTCTGTCATTTTTATCTTGACCTAGTCCAACACGGATTCAGGGAAGCCGGTATGTAGCTTCTCAGAAATATGTCGCCTGTCTCACTTTGTTTTCTTGATAGCCTCAAGCTTCTATTATACTTTCTCACCATCTTTATTGCCCATGCATCATATCACTCTGCGTCATCTTTCGACTTTGCTTCTACCTTCTCATGTCCAAAACGATGAAGTTGCCCAGCATTTTCGGAATGAAAAGTATGTTGTGAAAATGACACGTTCAGGATTCAGCCTTCTCGTGGGATGGCTCATTGAGGGTGTTGGAGGAGAGGCACCTGGTCATGGCGACGGTTTTACCGGAGAGCGAAGTAAGAGAGGAAGAGCGGCAGTAATGCGCGTGGTGAATAACCATCTACGATTCGATGGTAAGCTCGTCATTGTTTTCCATGCGGAGTGTGTTTACAGTGCAATTCAGTAACATCGACCACAACGATGGTGTCGAACAGTGCTTGGGAGGAGTCCACAGGGCTTTTATCTTCCTTCGTTCCTCAGACCAGTGGCAGTGTATCATCTCCGAGTCCGCAGGCTTTCAATGCACTCAAAGGCGAGTTAAAACTTGGTCCTGCACCCATACCTGAAGAACTCCGGACGGAGACTGAGCGGGTCCTCAGAGAACAAGCCATGGTAGAAAGGGACCCAGGGGCACAGTATGACCTCCATTATTCAAGACCAGCTGCTGTACAAGGACTCGTTGCACCGACAGAATCCGATTTACTACCACATCCCACCTCATTCAAGGCAATCGATATCCAAAGAGAAGTGGAAAAAGTTCGCGATGCGAGAAAACGCATTCGGCTCGACCCTTCCGTTCTGAACTCCACCGACTTGAACATGGTCCAAAATAGCGCTGCTGTCCGAGCACGTGGTCTGCCGAGTATATGTGCTTATACTCTACATGACGTTGGTGAAGGGTATGTTTAACTGATTCGTTGCCCGGTGATTACTAATATGTTTATGAAGAGCGCCGATTTGCGCCTTTTCTCCCGATGTCACTCTCATGGCTGCTGGTTTTTCAGAATCTTATATCCGACTGTGGAGTCTTAAAGGCGAAAACTTGCAAGCTCTCCCTGGCAATGATCTCCCGGACTCCATACGGGGTGGTAAGCGCTTGACCGTCCATTGTTCGCTTCTAGGCTTAGTGTTGGTAATGTAATAGGTGGTCCTTTTCGTCAGACCCAAGATACAGAAGCAGGCACTACATCACGGAAGCTAGTCGGTCACAGCGGAGCAGTTTACGCACTTTCCTTTGATCCTCTCAGCGGTTCTGCCGCCCCACCGAGATATCTTCTCTCAGGCTCGGCCGATTCTACTGTGCGTCTTTGGTCACTGGATACATTCACAAATGTTGTCGCATATCGCGGCCATCAAAATCCAGTTTGGGACGTGCAGTGGAGTCCCATAGGGATCTATTTTGCTACCGCAAGTCGAGATAAGACCGCAAGGCTTTGGTCCACAGATCGCGCGTCTTGCCTCCGTATTTATGCTGGTCATCTGAGCGATGTAGATGTATGTATTTGCCATAACGATGTGACCTTCGCTCACATCATACGCGAAGTGTATTAGATTTCATCCTAATTCGCTGTACCTTGCGACTGGGTCTAGTGACTGGACAGCCCGGTTGTGGGATGTTCAGGGGGGTTCATGTGTACGCGTTTTTATTGGGCATCAAGGGCCAGTTTCGACTCTTGCGATAAGCCCGGACGGGCGTTATCTTGCCAGTGCAGGTCAGTATCTTTTGTGATGTTTTTTAGCATTTCTCACATCAAAAAGGAGTGGACCTTTCCATCAGCTTGTGGGATCTAGGCTCTGGTCGCCGGATTAAGAAAATGACAGGGCATACATCTGCAATATACTCACTATCTTTCAGTGCTGAATCTTCAGTACTAGTGAGCGGAGGGGCAGACTGGACGGTTCGATGCTGGGATGTTAAAGCGGCTGGTTGCTCCGAGGCTCCACGAGAAAATGCGGAACCGGAAGTGCCTTCCAAATCACTAGCTTGTAGCTCGGACTTGATGGCTACCTTTTCTACTAAACAAACGCCCATCACCAATGTCCACTTCACACCCCGAAACCTTTGCCTAGTTGCAGGCAACTATGTACCCGTTGACTATAGATGACATCCACAAGTAGGTTGATGTCCCTGGTACTGAAATAATGAATGTTAATCAGGTTCTCCATTTACATAATTTGTAGTGAGACGAAGTTGATCAGTAGGTTCAAACATAGGATACAGACTGCATTGCCCATTGCTGCAGTATCCCCTTGGGGTGTGCCTTATGAAAAGCCTGTGCGATAGCTAGCGTTTTGGTTGGCTTAAAAGACCCATCTAGGTCAGGTTGGTTCATAGTAACGACCTTTGGGAGCCTGGTTCAAAAATTGGCATGCGACGGCACCTCGGGGTCAAAGTTTTCGGCATTGCACCCAAGGATTGAGCGAGCACTTCTCCTGCAGGTGCTTTCGTGGAGGAGCCATTCGTGAGAGATATAGCCACCTGCATATAGGATGAGGGATGATATATTCTAGATGATTGAGTTCATGTTACTACATTATTGATTATTGATCACCTATGTAGGTCAGTGTATGCAATTCACATCAATAAAACAGTGTCAGCGTGGGATACACCTCCACCACAATGATTTGCACCTAGTCTCCCTTCCTAATTCAATATAATGATGAGAGTCGATCATATCTATGTTTATATAACATGTATCTATTCCAACGAATCAATAAATGATACTCACAAAGCCCAGTCGATGTACTGGTCATTCAGGCTTGCTATGTATACTAAGCACACTGTTTCGTAGATATCGGTACCACTTAAAAGCAGATTAAATCCAATGTGCTATATTCTATTCACAATACTAAACAAAATTTCTCTGCGACGAGGAATATAATCCGATGGCTCAAATCTTGTCTCTACGGGACAAATAATAAATCGAATGACGCTGTCAAGTGTATACCAGGGTGCAACGAACGGCTAACTTAACAAAGTAGATACATGCATACTGATATGTACAGGATAGTCCTGAGATGATGGTAGGGAGGGCAGTGACAGAGATATGTAGGATGAGACGACATGGGCGGGTGTTAAAGCGTCTCCGTGATCAAATTGGAGGTTTCAAAACTTCGTCCCAGGTCTTGGGCAATGATGGTAGTGCACGTAGGAAAGCTGTAAACCACATCTCGTAAAATTTGTCTCCGAGTGTCGTTAGAGATTCAACCAAGTTGTCTGAATTGAGCTCATCAGCAGCCTCCGTAGCCTCGTTCATGAACGGTATGATGTCTGTGAAAAAGGGTACGAAAACCTTCAAAACAGGGGAAAGTTTGTGTTTTGTTCTCAGGACTGAAGCCTCCAGCATCGATAGCGCCCATCTTTTAGTCTTGTCGCTAGAGCCAGGATCGTCTGCAGCGAGTATTTCAAAAAGCCACAACCTCTCGTCCTCCGTTAAACTTTTGCGTTCGTGGCCAACGCTCAACAACACGCATAATATCACCCAGAAGAAAGATTCCAAGTCATCCGCAAATGTATGAAGCACGGGTTGATTTTTATTCCACATGTTCAGCATCCGCCTAGAAATGAAAGGGAGTGTTCCCTGAAGAGATTTGAAGACTGAATGACAGGCTTACCCGAAGATGAGCTACTTACCGAACGATGTTTCTCAAGCTTGCGATCAAGCTCTCGCCATCTGATTGCCTGGTCGCCGTCAGAGATCACGCCCACGCATTTTGTCAAGTTCTTGGTGCATTCGAACCTAGAATACTTTGACATCAATACCGCTTTGAGCTCATTATCAATTTAAGAGGACCTACCGTGTCAGGGGCTTTCGTATTTCGGGCTCTGGTAACAATAGAACGTTACCATCGCTGACATCGCGGTGCAGCCATCCATCCTTATACATATTATAGTGGCCTAGAAAGGGAGCATCAGTCCTGAGCGACGTCAAAACGGGGAAATACTCACCCATCATTCCATGGAACATGCCTTCTAAGAATTGGTACGGCCCCGCAGCCGTCTGGAACTTACAGCACTCCGTTTTCAATATCAGTCGCTTATGTACTCTGTTTTCCATCTTCACGTCTTCCTCCTGATCTTCCATCTTAGATTGTGTTTCCTTCTCCGCCTGACTGTTGGGTCCCTTCGATGGTGTATCTTTTGACCCCTTGTATATGAATTCTATTTCTTCCAGAAGAAATATTTTTCTAATCTCCTCCTCAACCCACGCCCCCTTTTTACCATGTTCAACTGTGTACTGGGCGTAAACTTCAGGTATTCCCATCTCTCCTTGAGTGAAACGAAAAACTTCAATCTCGTCATGGCCGTCCAAAGGCCATGAATCTTTCAGGATCATGGAAGGCGGCGGAGGACAGAGGTCGAGTTCAGGGATGGGCGAAGGCTGGTAAGTTGGGAAAAGATGGGATTCATCGTTGCGATCAATTCCTTGCCATTCAAGCTTCTCGGAGCCTTGATTCTGCTTGTTTGCTGGGTGAGCAGAGCCTGACTTGTGGCGCTTGCTGCTTCCAGTTTCAACGGCATGTTCGCGTGATCGTTTCCCAATACTTGAGACGGTAGAGGTTCGATTAGAAGAAGGTACGATGCCTTCAGTGCGCGGGCGTGAAGTGGAGGTGGGATATCGAGCGGTGGAAATATCTATCGTAAGGTCTATGACATTGCTGAGTGGATCATCCAATATCTTTTTCGCGTCATCGACCTTCCTCAGATGATAAACATGTGTGACACGACCCCGAATAGATTGGCGACGACAAAGTAAGTCAACGACCTCGTAAAGACCCCAGTTTGGGATCAAGAAGTAGTGATTGTTCCGCGATGGATCGATCCCAGCCTTCGAATCGTTTTCCCATGAAAGTATGCCCACTATTCCGTTGACAAAAGCGGCAAAGCCATCTTCTGTCTTTAGACTCAGCGCAGAGCTGCAAATCACGCCAGATCTTTGATAGAAGTAGAATTGAACTTCGGAAGTTTTGTGGTTGAAGCCGATAACCAAAACGAAGTAACGGTTCTCGTGAGCAACGAATGTGCATCGTGCGTAGGTACCAGCCTGTTTGAGCAGCACATTCCAGTCGCCCTTCACCTCGCACGCGATAGCTAGATCTTGCCACGACACCCGACCATCCAGCTCAGATTCGTCGGCGACACCGTTTAAAGACACTAAATCTGGCTTCAATGCATGGGTAGTCCCGCCCTTCATTTCTTTATTGTAATTGTAGAAGCGTAGACCGTGATAATAGCGGTCCTTAGGGATTTTAGGGTCTGCGGAAAGGTGAGATTCGGAAGTATTGATGATCCGGTTCAGGAGTTTCGTGAATGGTAAGTAATAGGCACTCTCTCCCGCAGTCGGCTGGGGCCAATTTGCTTGATCAAAATTAAACCCTTGGTCAGAGAAAATTCCTTGTTCTCTGAGTTCTTCCAGGACAAGGTGCGTAACGCCATCATCTGCGGGACACAAGCGCCCCATCACCTCTTTGCTCTCGAAGCGTGCATCATGTAGTTCATAGTAAACCAGTTCTTCCATCATCTTTTGACATCGTTTTGTCCGTTCTGTAAGCATCACGTTTTGGTCAGAATACCTTTGTGACGTGTGTGTACTTTTGGCTAGAGGAGTGCTTTTCACTTCGCGAGAGGTCACATTGGGGAGGCGAGGAGGAGTTATGTTTGGCTTTGAATCCTGCGTTTTTGATGCGGATGGCTCAGGTGAACGCGGGGGTTCTTGACTCATTGTGAATGGCGTTTGTCTTGGATGAAACAAAGCTGATGGATAAAGAAACGATGTGGCAATCGCGATAAACTGAGCCACGCTGGCGCCTACATGTGTCTACATGTGAACCTGATCATGTGACTGCTATAATGCTCCTTAGGAAAAATTGGTCATTTCCAAGGTCCCCAAAGCTATTGTGGGACTAGTCTCCCTTGCTTACCTAATTCAATATATTCCTGGTCCCGAAGGAGACCAGGTGTGTCAACCATAAATCGACCGCGCAAAACGTATCGGTTGGTCGGTGCGAAGTCCGAGCTTACTAATTATTCTCGGCACACATGTCTGAGGAAATGCACTGCACGTTTTAACAAGAGGCACTACTATCATTGGACACCGGATGCAACCAGTAAGAGATATGCACTTGGGCCTCCAGAGGCTCAAAGATCACTGTACAGGTAGCTAGAAAATTGTCAGATGTAGAATATAGTATAGAGAATATAATTGTGAAAGAATTTAGTGAATAGCTTATCTGTAGCAACAACAACAGACCTGACACTATGCTCTTGAACTCCAGAAGTGTGAATTTTGAGGGAAAGATGGCCAGATTTGACCAGATCTCGTGCTGGGAATATTGCAATATCTTTCTAGAAAATGTCAATAGGTAGGCCTCTACAATGCCAGATACTTACTGAGCTGATTGGGGCCTCAAAGCGTGTGGAGAAACGAAAACAATGATGGAGTCGTGACTAGGCGACCGAAACAGGCAATCACACACCAAGATAATCTATCAAGGACCGCTAGCTCTGCTTTGGTACGTACCGCACATACCACCAGCGTCAGGACTTGATGTGACCTGGAGGAATTTGACTTGTAAGCTCCGCCTGATTTGGTCTGTGAGTGCCGCTGTGACCCAGTGTGATCAGAAATTGCAGAACCATTCCAAAACATGTGTCGTCTTTTCCGTTTTGTTCCGCTGCTCCAATGATTCAAGTTCTTGCTTATTTTTCTACATAGGCAGCTAGAAAACTAAAAATTATATCTACTGGTCAAGTTCCGACAGTCTAAAGCTCAACGACTGGTGAGTTATTCAACTTCTCCCCAGACCAATTGCACCTATTGTCCAACAATAGTATGTCGGAAATTTTGAAACCCGGTTCTGATGCACTGTGATACCTTTTAAGGCCCCAATGCCGATGCAGCATGGCAAGGCATTGTGGGAAAGCCGTGAGCGTGTAATGAAACTCTAGGTCTTGTCACAATGAATTGCAACAACATTGTAACGGAGTTCTAATGAATAACCTGTACATTGCAATAGCTAAATAATATCTTTTAATGACCAGTGGTTAGCTTGAGTGACTGGTTAGCTTGAGTGACTGGCATTTCCATTGTATCAAAACAAGAATATATATTTTTAGCAAAAACACTGAAAAATAACATGTGAAGCATAATTTTGAATTCACTTGTCAGCTGTGACCTCTTTCACTTTTCTGCCTGTTTTCCATGCTTTCACTGAGGGTGCAGCATTGGCATTGGTACAGTTAGCGGCTCAATGTCAGGCTCAGGCTATATTTCAAGTTGGTGGAGATCAGTGGGGTGAATGGGGAGTGGGGTGAATGGGGAGTGCATCAAACACTGATGCCTCAACCTGCCAGTGATGGCCATTCTCAGCTAATAAATCACCATGTCAGTATGTATAAAGATAAATAGACAACTTGAACTCACCTAGGTTGGTGTCAGAGTCCAAGTCACTTAGTGCGGATATAGAACCCTCTGCTGGAACTGTCAGGTGGGCCTTAATCTTGTTTGCCTGAATTTTGGACTCTGATTCATCAAATGCAAGCATGGCATCTTCTAGATCGTTGGTGAAGTCATCTCCTTCTTGCACAAGTGTGTCTTGAGCATGCGTAGTGCATGGACCAAATACGAAGAAGTTGAGGTACTTGAAGAGGGTGCAGACAGTAATGGTGTTGGACTTGCAAATTAATAGCTTCTTGTACTCGTAGAATTTCTTCCCATACACTATGCCACTCACATCTCCTACAGAGTGGAAATTGGAATCTGGCGAAACTAAAAACTCAACCTATGTAATAAGAAATTAGCTAGCAATATTTGTGTGAGAAATTGGCCACTTACAATGACAGCCGCAAATAACACAGCTCCTGGTGTGAGCGAGGAAACGTTCCATATTTGTGCATTAGTTTTTGGCCTTCCTCAGGATGAACCTTGTAAAGATCCAGCACTGAGTAGCATGAGTTTTAGCACCTGATACAAGGTCAGCGGGCATGAGTCAATAGGTCAAAAGAGAGAGAGAGAGATAGGAACATACCAATGCAATGATCTTTGATTTAAAGACCCGCTTCATATCTTTCTTAAAGTCTGGAAAAAGAATGGGTGGGAATAGTGGGTCCATTTTGCTCATTGTATCAAACTTGAGGAGGGTTTGAAGGGCATGGATATTGTCCCGTTTGTAAGCGGCTGCAAAATATTCAGGATTGTATCCTACAAAGATTACACTGGCGTGGGTTCGGATGTTGTGAATCAGAGTCGACCTCCCAGAACTGATGTTCGAGATAAACTATTTAACATTGAGCAATAATAAGTAAGATGCACCAAAAAAGCAATTCAAGACTCACCCATTCTGCAAAATAGCTATGGGCCTTGAACAAGTGGAGAGGAGACAGAATGAAATCATGCAGTTGAGAGGCAAGTGCAAGTTTTTCTGTAAGCGGCGAGTCATAACAAAGCACACTTTGGTAGTCCACCCCTTCATGCTGTTGTTGCGTGAATATGCTTGTTTCGATAAATGGTTCAACCATGACACCATATTTCTTGCCCAGTTGAGCAATCTGTTTTTTGTGCATAGTGATTTCAACAGGTGCTTTATTAGTGCTTTTCCAATTAGAAAGACTAGCATGAAGGCTTGAATTTTCTGTGGCTAGTTTACACATTTGCAACCGTAGCTCAGCCATCTGAAGGTGTGCTGCATCAAGGGCCTAAAAAAACATCAATACATATAATGGAAATGTATCCAAAAATTGAACATACCTCTCTAAGCTCAGTGGATGAAGCGCCATTAGGGGGCTTTGAATCATTATCTTCTGTATCATCTAAGTCATGGCCTTCAGTCTCTGATGTCTGATCATTCACATCAGAGTCTTCTTCAACAACATAAGCTTGATTGGGTGCAGGTTGAAAAGCAGCTGGAGGGATGTTGGCAGACACACAATGACCAGTGTTTACAGCAACCCCCAACTGGCTGACACCTGCTTTATGCTTGGGGATGGGGAGAGCAGCCAATGGCGCTGAAACACTCCTGTTTTGATCTGAACCAGAGGGCATTGTTGTTGTAATAGTTCTAAATCTAATATAAATGTTAGTCTCAATGACTGCTCATGGCTGATTTATGGACAACTTACATTGGAGAGAGAAAAGAAGAGACTTGAGGGTGGTACCAGAAAGACAATGCGGTGGTTGGCACATCAGCCGATATCATGCACCAAAATTGATTGGTAGCATGGACAGGTGTCAATAACGAAGCGAATATTTGAAAAGACTCGCCTTTGCGCCACACAGGCACAGTGCCACGTGGAATAATAATTAATATTGCCTTTTTCAAACTTGTGGCTGATCAGCACCACCTCTATTAGGCAATCCAGTTACGCTCACCTTTGCTTTTCCATTTGGTACTTTCCGTGTTTCGGCATTTCGGCAAATTTTTGCGTCGCCACTGGCTACACATTGCATTGCGCCCTCGCTTTTGTCGTTTCCCTTACTCCCCTTCCTTTGCCTAGCCTCACCATGGGCCCCTTCCTCTCCTTTTTATTCTCACCTGATGGTCGTTTCTGGATCCCCATTCTAATCCACTTTTTTGTCACCTCCACCCTCCTCCTCCTCATCTTATTTGCACCCCCACCATTTCTGATGTCACCACTCCCTATCTGCTTCCGTTGCCAATCCGTTGACTACCACATGCCACTGCTGATATCAGCAAAGCCCCGGTGGCCGGTCCAAATAGGGCAACAGGTCCATCTTCATGACGTCGATCTGCCATCATATACTATCAAAACATTGGTCGCTCGTCTTGCCTGGTTGGAGCGTGGGTGGGTAGTTTTTGAGCTGGAGAAGGTTCATCCCCTTGCGTCGCCCATGTTCATCGCTGTCCCATTCACTTGGGTACACTTATCTTTTGTCCATCGTCTTCGCTACAGCTACACCTACCACACGCTGCCTGGGACTCACTTGTTCCAAATTGGAACTACTCCTCTCCCTCCCTCGTTTGATCAGGTGGTCCAACACAACCAGTCCATTGGTAAGGCCATGGAACTGTCGGATTTGGACTAGGTGGTGGACCGGTGGCTCCAGTTTCTTTTTCTTCAGCAGAACATTCATTTACAGTGCAATTATTTTTGATTTTTGAATCATTTTTATGGACACATATTTTTTTAGAATGCCTGACTGACAATAAAGGAACTGTGTTGATACTGATAGTGTTTTGCCTTGCCCTTTTTTTACTGCATCTTCCCATGACATCATGATTTTCCTGCTCTCTTTTTGCTATTGGACTTTACTTTATGGCTGTACAAACCTGTGACATTACTCACAGCATTGATTGTTCTATCCCTTTCTTTTCCTTTTTTGACAATCTTATCCTGTACTATCTATGCAGGATTCGTCAGCGTACATTCCTTCCTTCATGTTCTTTCTCATTCTTTTTGCGCAGCTATACTGTGCATAGCCTACCTTTCTTTTCACTATATAAACCCCTGTATTTTACCTTGTAAAAACAACAAGAACTCGATTCCAGACTTCTTCTCTAATCTCAAGTCCACTACTCTTCTACTTGTGATCCAGGGTGGTCACAACACTTCCCACTGCTACCACTGTTAATTGCTGTCATCGTCACTTCCCACTTTTGAAGTCATTGTCATCCCTTTCAATTAGAGTCCTTCTGAGCACTACAGTTTGTGTGTCAGGAGCCTGCTATCACTGGGAACCTCATCACCTCTTCATCTTTGTCGTTCTCAAACCTACCTTGTGCTACGATTAGCAAGGTAGTGCTCATCTATACTCGTCATTAAGCCCCCATCTTATATAAATTCAACTATCCCTCCTCCTCAAAACCCACACCCATACATCTCTGGGTTATACTTTGAAGGATCTTCATACATACCACCCCACGAACAACCAGAGCACCCACTGTTCTAGGAGGCAAAGCCCATAAACAAGTTCCGTGGAATCTGGGAGGATTGTTTGTTAGTTTGTTTTTGTGTGTGGTTTTCTAACAACAGTTCTCATCATTGACAGCGCCAATATTTTTTATATGTTGATAAAAGTAATGAATAAGATTCTGCATTGTGGGAATTATTGCGTACCAGTTTTGGTCGGTGCATCTACGCTCGTTGGCAGTTCATCATCAACATAAGTGCGGCTGTCCCACCGAGTATTCAAGTCTACAAAAATACATACTTCAATAAAAAAAAGAAAGTCATACATTTACTATTGTTACAGTATACCTCCTTTCCGTGGAAGTTCATTGTTTGCAAGATATGTTTCAGCATCTGTGAAATTTTGAACGTCACATTGTTAATTCAGGATCTCAGATTAGACATTGACAAACCTCTTTTTCTCTTGTGCCGAAAGGCCTTCTCCACTTCAGCATCACAAGCCCTATTTTCTTGTTCCTGACGGCACCGTTTCTCGTGGCTACTTAAGCCTCTTGCACTGAATGTCTTGCCACATATCCCACATTGTTTTGATCTGGAAAGACTGTACCGAGCCTATTAGGAACAGTGTCAAAGACCTGCTACAGACCTGTAAGTAATGTTGCTGGCAGTTCCTCCATCTATTCTCATGCACAATGTGTGCATCCTGCCCCATCATGATGATGTTACAATTTATTGATAAGATATGCGAGTTCATTTCAAGGAATCAAATCAAAAAAACCATGTGAGATCAAGCGATTTCATTGCAATGCCGTTGCAATGCCATTTGGACTGATTACAGACCCAATTAGGACAGAAGCTTCCACATTGCGTGGCGTTGAAACCTTAGTTCATTGCAAGGCCAACTGGAATTTTCCAACATATATGGCAAGGGTCAAGTGAAAACCTTCCAATCTTTTCCCTCTCTGTTGTGCTGCGAAACAAACAAATTTACCACTGATGAGTATGTGGAATAGCAATGTGGCGTACGACACCATCTAAACAGTTTGCCGCTGGACCTTCCTGATTCCCAGGTTGTTTAGATGGAGAGTTGGAGTCGCATTCATCATACAATCCTTCTGATAAATTTGAGGGAGCTTCACTAGCTGGAGGAGAGTTCTCAGGCAACTGTCATGGCGGTGAAGCACTGATGTTGAGTTCCCTGTGTCCAATCTGTATGGAGCCTTGTATGTGCTTTCCTCTATAATTATTTGCTTCCTCTTGAACTGAATATCTTTCTGTATTTACTTATTTACATATTGATTTCATCCTTTCCTACTGCGTGTCTTTTATTCTACCTTACCTACTTCAATGTCCCTTCAACTTCTAAAGTTTTTGTCTCATTCTGCTATGCTTGCTCATCATAATGTAATAAATATTCTGTTCTTGATTGCACATATGCTGCTCTTCAAAGTGATTGACTTCTCCCCCCGGGGGGCCAGGGTTGCCCGGAGGGGCATGCTATGATGAGTTGATATCTTGTAAATAAGGTCTGCACCAAAGTAAGATCATTTGGCATGAACCCCCCTGTTACGATACACAAATTTTGGACCTTCAAATTTCATTCTCCTCTTTAACTTTCTTCTGTAGTTTTCACACACTGTGCCATGCGGCACTTTTTATTTTGTTCAAACTCCACCTTCTTGCGCTGCACTGCCTTTTTCCTTATTTTAGCTACAAGTCTCTTACGCAGTGGAGCTGGTCACACAGGCTGTACCCCATGACATCATCAGCCACTGCCTCCATCAACTGTACAGTACACATGTACAAACAACCTGTAGTAGTATATATACCCTAATAAATCAAGGAGACTCCTCAGCGAGTCCTCCTGTTGTTTACCCACAACTAACTTGGTCCTATCCTAAGGGTAACCACTCCCCTCACTACCTTTATAGCTTTGTCTGAGTTGTGCGCCAGAGTAACTAACTCTTGGTTGTTACACCCCCCTTTGGTGCCAATAACACAAATATTGAGCTCTTTTGCACCTTGATTTTAAACTCAACCGCTCCAATTGAATATAGCTGAGCATCACAGTAAAGGCTAGCTATTGCTTCAACCAGCGTAACTCACCACTTAGCTTTTGTGTGAATCGGTAGAGTTGATAGTGAAGCTCTCAGATGATGAACAATGCTAGTTTCAAATTTTTCTTACATCCCAAACAGATACTGAGCCACTGAGGTAGTGAAACTGTCAGCCACTCCAATTAAAACACCGCTGCAAATTGCAGACACACCTGAACCAAAACATGGGCAAAAAAAATGGGATATTCAGAGTCATATAGGTCCAATGTGCTACATAAATTGTCATAGTTGTGATATATTAGTACGGATCATGTACATAGCATTTGTTCTCTACAGTAGCCATTTCAGCTGAAACCTTTATGTGCTTTTTCCTGGTGTGACTAGCCACAAAATGCCAAGTTCAAGCTGAATGTGCCGCTCATGGTGCCTTCTCTATTACTACTGAAGCGGGGGTTCCTGCCAAAGGTCCTTACTTCGGACCAGACTATTCTGGGACCCTCCCAGGAAATCTTGAGGCAATCGCCCCTTGCCTCCATACTTCTGTTCCTTGCTTCTGAGATCTGAGCACTCATCCTGCTGCCCACATTTACATAAACTATCTGCTTCCTTGTACCAATCCACTGGTGTCCAACCGCATCTGTAAAAGATCAGCTTCATATTTGCCATGTTTCTGACTCACTGATCACTCATCTCAGGCCTCAGCACAAAGAATTGAAAGTCTTGTATTAATGATAGGTGAGCTGTAAAAGTAGCACACAGAGTAGTTTTACAGAGTCTTTAGCTACTAGACGCCTTGCCAGACTATTTCCTTTATTTCCCTGCCCTCCTCGCAGATACGGAAGACCAGCTTGAAAACTTCTGCTTCATCAACATAGGTCCTGATAGATATTTTTTATCTTGGAAATTTCCAGGTCTCATCCAGCCTCCTGCGTATTTCAAGATGGCTTTGTTGTTGACTGCAAGATTTTGCGCAGGAAGTGTTACCTAACTGTAACAATCAAGAGTTAGTTACTCTGGCGCACACAGGAACACACTATAAAGGTAGTGATGAGGGAGTGGTTACCTCTTAGGCTGCAGTGAGTTAGTTGGTATACAACAGGAGGACTCGCTGAGGAGT